ATCGTTTCCCCCCGATTTTATTAGTTTTGAGATCGTTTGGCCCCAAAATCGTAATCATGATCACATTTCGATTAATTGAGCAGTTTTACATCTGAGACATATTTTCTCTTCAATATAAAGTCCAACACAAGATACTCTTTAAAACAGACGGAGAGGCTGCAATCTTTCCTCTGTGCTGATATTTGTCAGGTGACTTACGTCGGTTTTGGGAGGGGACAGGCAGAACTGGATGAGGCCAATCTTTGCCTTCTCCACACGGGTCACGCTGCTGTTGGCCACCCTCTGGGTCAGAACCAGGCCCTCCACCAGCTCACAGTCATCAATGGTCCCTCTATAAAAAGACACAGAGAAAGAAAACTGGTCAAAAGTTGGAAAGCAGGAACGGATCGAAAATCCATTCGAAATTTCATGAAATAAGAAGGATGTTACAAAGGATTCGGGATGTGGACCGGCTGGATTCGAGCGCTCGCACTCACCCGAGCTTCTTGATGATTTTGATGTCGTGCAGGTCGACGCCTGTGGCGGTGGCCGGGTCGATGACTCGCATGACGGCGTCCACGCTCATTGGCGCCAGCAGGCTGGAGTACTGCGACACCACCTTGGAGCACAGAGACGTGGTGGCGCTGTTGAGCAGCGTCTCGCGGTCGCTCAGCTGCACCGGCCGGCTCATGCCCGTCAGCACCTCCACACCTTTCTCCACCGCCTTCTGGAAGGACTCCGAGATGATGGTGGGGTGGATGCCTGATCGAAAGGACAACGTGTTTGTATTAGTGCCGAAACATTTAATTAGTCGATCATACAACTCTACTTAGAGGTTTGCCTCAACTTTCCCACTAAAAAGGTTTTATATTTTTCCAGAAAAGGTGATAAATGACCACAAAGTAAAAATGGAAAAAAGAGCCACAGTCTGAATTTTAACTGAACTTGAAAAAAGCCTTATTTATTTATATTTATTTATTATATGGCAACATTTCCACCTCCAGTGTTTCCACTTTCCAATGTGTTAAATCAAAAATGTGCATAAAAACACGTGAATGGTCCCAAAAACAGAATTCATTCACCACCAATCTGCTTTAATCTGCCAAACCTTTAGTAGAGAAGTATTTACATTAATCTGGTCACGTACGTACAACTACAGAGTTCTTCGTTCTACGTTAGTGAATTAAGGATTTATTTTGACCCAACTGAAGTCGGTGAGTGTTGTGAACTTTGGAAACACTAACAAAGATGGTTTTGGTGAGTTTTATGACATAATAGTGACATCAAAGGTAAAGTTACAGCTTTTGTCTGTGGAGTCGACCGATATATTACAGCGGTTTCTGTTTTAAATAAATAAAACATTACATAACACCCATTAGCAGCTCGTTCTTCTCATCTAACTTGATGAATTAAAACTTTACTTCTGTTGGAACGTGAGTATTAATCAGCTTCTGTCCCGTTTCGAAGTGCGTTTTACGATAATCTCAGTAAAATAACAGGTTTTGTCGACGGAGTCCGGTCAGCCATAGTGTCCGTTGTTCGGTCTGAGATGTTGGCGCCCTATTGAACGACGATTACACCACCTTTCATTTTGTGTGCGTTACCTTTCTGCAGCAGCCGGTAGCAGGCTTCCAGCAGAGCTCCAGCAATCACAACCACAGAGGTGGTGCCGTCTCCGGCCTCAATGTCCTGGGCTTTGGATAGTTCCACCAGCTGAAACACACACACACACACAAACACTTCAGTCGAGGGGCGATACCTACGACGAGCACTGGAAATGATCCACAACAAAAAAACTGTGAAAACTGAGCTCTAAAAAGCAGCGTCGATGTTTCTGACGCAGCAGAACCGGAAAGTGGAGCGTACCATTTTGGCTGCGGGGTGGAGCACCTGCATCTGCTTCAGGATGGTGGCGCCGTCGTTGGTGATGGTCACGTCACCTTTCTCGTCCTGGATCTGAAGAAAAACAAACAGGAACTTGCTTTAGAAACACTCGTACGACGTTAAGAGCCGGATTAAAAGACAAAAAAACTGCTCACTGACCATCTTGTCCATTCCTTTGGGCCCCAGGCTCGTCCTGACGGCATCGGCGACAGCTGTCAAACAAGCAAATCAACATTTAGGGCGCTATACATAATAAATCTGACAAGAAATAACACATATTTTAATATTAAAAGGTTGGTATCGATCTAATTGTTATAGCAAATGTTGCATTTTTATGTTTCAGGGGAATAAAATGAACAAAGCACGTAAATAATCCACGAACTGAAGCTGTTAAAGTGTAGTTTAGTGATCAGTCCTTTGCACATTTCGCTTCTGGCCATATATAGCACGCAGCATGAGATTGTGTTGAGTCATGAGCATCTTGCAGACGAACCAAACTCTGCACGCATTAACGGAAGCAGCCCAAAATTTAAGGTGGAATTTTTATTATAGTTAAATAATATCTGGTGCACTAATGTAAGCCGAATATTAGAGGGGATTATTTGGGAGTTATTAAAGCGCTCTTAGGGTTTATAACACGGTTTATTTTTGTTTTTACGGAGAAAATGCTGTTAAATTGGAACTTTGTTAAATTAGGTTTCGGACCAGACAAAAGGTGAAGAATAACGGAACCCCGCCCAGCTCAGCCGCTGCTCTGAAACTGGACTGAACGGGGGGGTTTGGGGCGAGATATTAAACAGTTTATAAACATTTTAACTACCTTTGGCAGCAGAGATGTTGCTGTACCGAATCTGGGCCGGTTTGTCGCGGTCCACATACGCCCCTCCATTGTGTCTGCCCATTGAGGCTCTCGGTGCCGCCTTTGCTTCGGGCATCGCGACGTTATAATCGATGGAGATTGTAGAGAGAAGTCTTCAGAGCGGGACTGGCGCGTCCCGGGGCCGGTACAGCTCGATTCGGGCTCGGATGGACTCAGATTACGGTGTCTGCACCCGGTACCGGTCAGAAGCTTCGAGATCAACCGGCGGCTGCGCGGAGAAGAAGGACCCGGATGTCAAACGGCCCGCAGATGACGCGTTCAGGCGCTGTGGGTCGATTACCGATGTGACTGAACTCGTTCATATTTTACGTTTAAAGCAGCTCTTCTTGAGTCCGGGTTATAGATTAATCTCTTAGTTATTAAACGGTGATTGGGTGAAGTCTCCGTTTTGTTGCTTTAAAGGCGAATTTCTCACATTACATCAAGACAGGCTGCTCTGGGTTGATTAGTTTGGTCTGTTCAGGCTGAAACACAAGGGAAGAAGCATTTTTTTTATTGAACGCGTTAACGAGCAACTGAAGCCTGTCCGGTTTCTTTACCCTCTAACTTTGTGAATTAACCACCTCCGTGTCCGGTAGGTTTATGTCGGGTGTTCGGCAGCAGCTCACTGCTCTTTCTGCGTTCACGTCCTCTCGTTATGGCTCTTAAAAAGCGAGGTTAACTTAACAAACAGCAGTCTGCAGACCAGACATGCAGACATGCTTTAGTGGTTGTTTGGAGCCTTTTGAGCAGGAAAGGGTTTAAATTACTTATTATCTGCACATCTTATACAGTTTGTCTCATTCATTGTAAGAGTAGCTGTTTGTAGGTCTGCTTACTTTGGCTCAAAATGTCCTGTGAACCTAAGAATCCACACAAATAGCTTGTGTTATTCTGGTTATATACAGTGCAGATTGTAAGTAAGTGAGGCATTATTTAATTATTTATATACAGTTTCACTTTTAAATACAAAGGCTGCAAGGTGCATGACAGCAAACGCTTTTAGCACAATATATAAAACAGCCAGGATGGTAAAAGATAACAGAATAAAATAAAAAAAACATAATATAAGTGATGTAAATACTGATTATAGAGTAAAACAAAACTATAATCCCACTTTTTTCATTTTAGACCAGCGTCTCTTAAATGTGGTTATTATAGGAACTCTCACAACCAAGAAATATACAGACAAGTTTACTTTTCAATTATTATTATTGGCAGTAATGTTTTGCAAAGTCATGTTACTTAACATCTCTAATAATCGGAAAAAAGTCAATTAAACTGACATTAAATGAAGTCCTACACAGACATTCACACAGATATAGTTTACTGGTAAATGCACAATGATGAATATCACCACCAGCTTGGATTTAGATTCAGTCATACTGTTGTGTAATCAGTGTTGGTTGTTTATCCTGTAAAATGTTAAATAATATTACCTGCTCGTTACAAATTCTCAATTATCCTTCAGCCTTTAATCACCCTAAAACCTCACATTAGGGAAGATCCAACCAGCAAAACTTTCCTTGTTTGCTTTTTGTTTACGTGAAAAGTGATTTATGAAGAAAGCTGAACAGTCATTAGTTGGTTATTGAAGTAATCCCTATGAATGTTCCTGCATCCTGCAGTCTGGAGTCATGCTGCCGCTGAAGGAGAAGGATAAACCCATCGTCCAGAAGCTGCTGTCGGCCGGCTGCTGCGCTCGCTGCGTCCTCAGGTTCTGCTGTGTGAGCGTCCAGGCCGCCTACCGACAACCCCAACAGGTAAGACTCATCCTGGAGGACACGTTGGCACCTTCTCGCATTCATTCATTCGTGATTTAAAGTGGCTGTTCTTCCCTCGTAATGCCAGTTACTTCTCATCTCACGCAGGATACGCTCAAGGAACTAAAAGCTTTGATCAGCAACGCAGAGAACAGCAAATCCCCAGATTCAGCAGAAGCAGAGTCCACAGATGGAAACAACAAACCCCACGATGCAGCAGTGTCAGAACCGCCCGAAGGCCCACCGAGTAAAAGAGCGAAGCTGGAGCTCAGTGCGACTGACGCTCCAGCAGAGGAAGACGCTGCTGCTGTGGTCGAACAGACGGACGAGGAGTCGTGTGTGTGTGTGGTGTGTTTGGGGGTCCTGCAGGAACTCTGTGGCCCCACGCAGGCCGTAAAGGTGTGTGTGTGTGTGCTGTAAAATAGTCACTGTGTCAGACTGTATCGATGGTTGAGATGATCTTGGTGTTGTTTGTTCACAGATAGCCGAGGCAGTGAAGGCAGAGAAGTACGAGTTCGACACCCTGGTGCTGTCTGTCTCTCTGCCCGCTCAGCTGTGTGTCCGAGAGGTCAGTCTCTCTCTCTCTCTCTCTCTCTGTGTATGATGTTGTTTAATAGTTAAAGCTGATTATTTTAGCTGTTGTCGATCATCCTTCCAGTTAAGTGTTTAATTGTTTGGTCGGTAAAGTCAGGAGTTCCCAGAGCCCGGTGTTTTGTTTGCCCTATGTGGGTTGTATTCCAATAAGACTACTGTCTTAAACAAATAACTTTAATACAAAATCTTTAAGTTAAATATTCTTTAACATGTTAAATTTAACATACACATTGTCAACCAGTTGTAGACAGTGCTGAGAGCTGCTTCTTCTCTCTTACTCTGTACTGCTTGCCTCAGTATTGAGTGAGTATTTTAAGTTCCATCTTCCCTTTCTGTCACATCAGTAGGACTTTATTGTGTCTGTTGATGTGTATTTTTATGTAACCCTGCAGCACTCCTGTTGGCTCCACGTGAAGAAGGAACTGAGGTAAAGAAATTGTGTTGACTCGTCGCTGTTTGTTCAGTCAGCCGTCCCGTGGAAGTTTGCTGTAACTCCCGTTTGCTCTCTCAGAGAGAAGAGCATCGCACTCGACAAGGACGACGTCATCCAGGTGAAGGAGGCCTTCAAGTGGATCATGCAGGGCCTGGTCGCCAAGGCGCTGGGGGGCGTTGCCGTGGTTACCAGGGTAGGCAACATATTTTACCCAATTTAGTCACTTTTAGTCAGAGAGGGCAAGACGGGGTGTCAGTGGTTAACTTTTTTCTGTTTACAGCCAGAAAAGCATTTAATTTCTC